CTAGTTAAAAAAATCAAAGGCCATAAATAGAACATGTGTTTTTTATTTCCTTATTTACCCTAGTCCTTTATCCATATCTCTAAATAATTTAGGAATCTAAACATCTTTTGTCTCTTATGGTAGTGAGTGTAGCTCCTCTCCCAAACAATATTCAACTTTATCAGCATTTTTACATTTCCTCTATCATGCATATATATATGATAATGCACATGCACATAGAAAGATAATATAAATCTCCTTGTATTACACATTCAAACAAACACTCACAACATCAACTAGGTTATTGGGGATTTGCTTGGTTGTTAATTTGGTTGAATGGGTGAGTAGGGTTTAGTGGTAGAGGAGCTTTGGGTTAGAGGATGAGCCAATGAGGAGAGGGGAAGGAAAGGTGGAAATGGTAAAGTATGCGTAGGTTTAATCTACATGTTTGAAACTCTTATCCACTTAAAAGTTTAAGCTTTAATACCCAAAAATTCCTTTCTCATGTGTGAACTACATCAGATTGAGCTTCTGCTTGAGTTTGATCCATCACTCTGTTCACATATGTAATCTTACTTGCAATATCATATAAGTGGGTTAATTTTGTGACTTCNTGAGTTTGATCCATCACTCTGTTCACATATGTAATCTTACTTGCAATATCATATAAGTGGGTTAATTTTGTGACTTCAGACTCCCTGTTTTATTCTCTTAAATTGGTTATATTGTCCAAGATCTATGGATATGACAGATCCTTGGGATAGGCTGTAAGCATGGACGTTTTTTTGAGTTTATTCATCTTCGTCTAACACATTATTTTCCTTGGTCATTTTTACTGTTGTTGTTTCCGNTCAGACTCCCTGTTTTATTCTCTTAAATTGGTTATATTGTCCAAGATCTATGGATAAGACAGATCCTTGGGATAGGCTGTAAGCATGGACGTTTGTTTGAGTTTATTCATCTTCGTCTAACACATTATTTTCCTTGGTCATTTTTACTGTTGTTGTTTCCGCTTCTGCTTCGACCAACTCTCCTTTCAATCTTTGACATTCTCATCTGGGTTTTGTGTCTTTAAGTCGTCTATAGTATTTAATTTTCAGTGGTCAATTAGGGAATGTTCACAATGAACAATTTGATTATTTGTCTTGTAAACTTGCAAAACAACTAGTTTTACCTTTCAATAACAATTACTCTTTGTCTTCTGCCCTTTTTAATTTGGTTTATTTTGATATTTATGGACCTTTAGCAACTATTTTTATGGGAGAGCCAAAATATTTTGTCATTTTTATTGATGGCTATTATTTATTCACTTTGGTTTATCTTTTACAAACTCGATCTTAGTTGTCATANACAACTAGTTTTACCTTTCAATAACAATTACTCTTTGTCTTCTGCCCTTTTTAATTTGGTTTATTTTGATATTTATGGACGTTTAGCAACTATTTTTATGGGAGAGCCAAAATATTTTGTCATTTTTATTGATGGCTATTATTTATTCACTTTGGTTTATCTTTTGCAAACTCGATCTTAGTTGTCACAAATTTATTATAATTTTGTTAAAAGTGGTTCAAACTCGATTATTGTGATTCATTAAAGTCTTTAGATCTAATAATGTCATGTAATATAAAGACACCATATTCCTTAACTTTCTTAGTCAACATGACACCATTCCTCATCTTTCTTGTCCTGACACATTTCAATAAAATGGACGTGTTGAGCGTAAACATTGTCATATTCTTGATATTGTTTGTGCTTTTATCATCTCTTCTTCGTGTCTTGAGCGTTTTTTGGGTGAAGATGTTCTTACAATTGTCCATACCATCAATCATGTTTCCTCTCCTATTATTAGAAATCAATCTCCATATGAACAATTGTATGACACTTGCCTTGATTCACCCTCTCTTCGAGTCTTTGGTTGTGTATGTTTTGTTTTACTCTAGCCTCATGAGCGTTCCAAGTTAAAACCTTGAGCACGTCTTGATTGCTTCCTAGGTTATGGGATTGAACAGAAGGGTTATCGTTATTGGGATTTATATTCCAAGCGTCTTCATGTTTCTTGACATGTCGTCTTTTGAGAACACAAGATGTTCTCCTCCTTGTTTCAACTTCAATTTTTGTGTGCCCCAACTTCTCTTATCATTACTGGTCCATCTATGGATCTACATTTTGATGACCTACATCCAGACTCATTTGAGCTTTCATCTATAGACCATCCATAGGCTTTTATCCTGCTTGTTGATCTTGATCCTACTCCTGTCGCACTTCATACTGATAGTGGTCATGCCTCAACTCTTGAACTCTCTACCCCACTTCCTGGTGATACTTATTCTCTTGCTCATTAGCAGTGTCATTCAACTCGGATAAGGAACATTTTTGTTCGTTTGTATGATTATCATTGTTTCTCCACTATTCTCTCTTCGCATAAGCCTCACTCTTATCGTGAGGCTAGCTTTAACCCTCATTGACAACAAGCAATTACAGACATTAGCTGACACATATACTTGGAATTTAGTTGATCTTTNCCACTATTCTCTCTTCGCATAAGCCTCACTCTTATCGTGAGGCTAGCTTTAACCCTTATTGACAGCAAGCAATTACAGACATTAGCTGACACATATACTTGGAATTTAGTTGATCTCTCTCCTAACAAAATATCTATTGGGTGTAAATGGGTTTATAAAATCAAGACTTGATCTGATGGTTCTATTGGGCATCACAAATCTCATCTAGTGGCAAAGGGTTTTACACAGGAGTATGATATTGATTATGAGGTGATTTTTGCTTCCGTTGCTCATCTCACTTCAGTTCTAAAGCCTATTAGTTGTTTTTGTCAGTGGAAATTATATTANCTAGTGGCAAAGGGTTTTACACAGGAGTATGATATTGATTATGAGGTGATTTTTGCTTCCGTTGCACATCTCACTTCAGTTCTAAAGCCTATTAGTTGTTTCTGTCAGTGGAAATTATATCANTACACAGGAGTATGATATTGATTATGAGGTGATTTTTGCTTCCGTTGCTCATCTCACTTCAGTTCTAAAGCCTATTAGTTGTTTTTGTCAGTGGAAATTATATTAGATGAATATTTAAAATGCATTTCTCAATGGTGAACTTACTAAGGAAGTCTACATGTAGCCTTTTCCTAGTTATTCTCATTCACTACATCAAAGTTTATTGACTCTGTTGTGCACTTTAGGCTCTTAAGCAAGCTCTTAGGGTTTGGTTTGCAAAGTTTAGTGCTACTATTAAAGATTTTTGTTTCTCTTCTAGCCCTTATGATTTAGCTATCTTTATTCGTAAGATTGAGTGTGACGCTACTCTACTTCTTTTCTATGTGGATGATGTGATTATTACTGGAGATAATATTTTTGGTATTTTTGATTTCATATTTTCAACACACTTTGAGATGAAGGATATTGGTTCTTTCAACTACTTCTTGGGACTTTAGACATTGTTTGGCTCTAGTGAGTATTATTTCTCTCAGGTTAAGTATGCCTCTGATCTTCTTACTCGTGTTGGACTCATTGATTGTAGGACTCACTAATTGCAAGACTGTAACTACCCCATTAGAGAAAATTGTTCGCCTTATTCTCTTGGATGTTACACTTCTTCCTGATGCCACTTTTTATTGCCAGTTGGTAGCTAGCTTTGTGTATCTCATTATTACTCATTCGGATATAACTTACGCTGTTAATCTTGTCAGTCAATTTTTGACTGCCCCTTGNTTCCTGATGCCACTTTTTATTGCCAGTTGGTAGCTAGCTTTGTGTATCTCATTATTACTCATTCGGATATAACTTGCGCTGTTAATCTTGTCAGCCAATTTTTGACTGCCCCTCGCTCTACTCATTATGTTGTTGTTTTTTGTATTCTACGATATATTAAGGGTACTATGTTTCATAGTCTTCATTACTCTACTCCTACGCGTCTATTTTGATGTTAACTGGGTAAGAGATCTTATTGATTGTCGTTCTATCACTGATAACTGTTTTTTTCTATACAACTCTCTCATCTCTTGGCGTTGTAATAGTCAGTTATCTCGCAATCTAATACAGAGGTAAAGTATCGTGCTGTTGCTGACATTACCCACGAACTTCTTTGGTTTTGTTGGCTCTTTAGAAGATTTAGGTGTCTGTCATTCTAATGCTACTATTCTTTGTTGTGACAATTGGAGTGCCATATAGATTTTGCTTACAATGATGTTTTTCATGATTTCACCAAGTATATTGTGATTAACTGTGATTTGAGACACATTTCATCTTGTCTCTATTTCTTCAGATAACCAGACTGCTGATATCTTCACCAAGACACATTCGTTGGGCCGATTTCATGATTTGATTTTCAAACTTAAGTTAATTTTTACTTTACCTCCTTGAATTTGAGGGGGAATGTTAATGTATATATGTTTATCCTTCATCAGTTAGATTAAGAAATTTTACTATTCTTTTGTACGATAAACAAATCTCCTCATGTACAGAATAATTTACACCAAAGCAATGTATAATTGATATTCACTTTTTATTCTCTTTTTTCACATTAATGATGCATTGTGTGGAAAATAAATTTGATAAATTTTATACATCTAAAAAAATGACATTAACCACTTGAAACAAACAACCATTAATTATGAGTGTGCATACTCCTATAAAATATGTAGGTATATTATGGGGAAATTTGGAGATCGGTCTCTTTTTGTGGATTTATTTAATGGTAAGTTTATCAAGGAAATTTGTTTAATATTAAATTCATTTTGATCTTTATTGCTCAAAATACCGCAAGTAGTTATGTTTTATTAAAATAAGTTTGAAAACTAAAAATTTTTAAATTTTAGGAGTTTAACTAACATTGAAATTTTTTCTCATTTATATTTTTATATATCCATATATAGAATAAAACTACTAATTTCTCTCTCTCTCAAATACACACACACAGGGNTAACCCCAATTTTTACTATATTATGCTGTACAGTGGGCTTTAATGATGGGCCATGAGTCAGCCTGAATCCATTAACTGGGCATCTCATGAATGTATGATATTAAAATTTGAGTTTAGCCATAGTTTTATCATGTTTTGAGGTAGATTAACAATGTAATTTTCACCAGCAGTGCAAGGATACCATCTCACTATTGATACCATCTCAGCTAGTACAGCGGTGGAGTATGCTCAACACCTTCCTTGTTTGACCTGGAGTGATCTTGCAGGAAAGGAGGAACTACTCACCGAGGCCGGACCAAGCTAATAGTCCCCCATTGATTTTGTTGGATATTGTAAGGAAGGGAATGTATATGATATTGTAAGGAAAAGCTCTCGAGTTTTTATTTATTTTTTTTGGTTACACTAGTTAGGCATATCCCCTTCTCGTGCATAAGTATCAAATTTAAGTTTATACTCTAGGAATTGTTCTTACATTAATGTAGGTTGTTGAAGGATCTAATCCAATAAGATTCATGATTTTATCAATGTTTGGCATTCATCAAGATCCGATGCTGGACTCTGTAGCCCCACTATCCCCTTCAATTCAGAATCCGCCTGTAAAGGAAGAGGTTCAAAGAAAGTCTCATGCAGTGCCGACTGTGTCCTTGACTCTCACTCTCATGAATCAGATAGTGCCATATGTCCCAATATTGGCTCCATCTTTGCCTGGGGTGTACATCAGGCTCGTGTACTAGATTAGAAAGTATTATTGTACTGATATACGTCAATATACACATACATTACATTTCAACAATGCTTCTCCATTTTTGCATCTAAGGCAGAAATAGGAAGATAAGAAGATCCATTTTCATCTTGCGTTTGACACGACCAAGGAGACCACATATATAGGAATTTCTTAGCTTTAAGCTTGTCATTCTCAGGGTTTGATCCCAAATTTATTTAACATTATAATTAGGAAGTTAAAATTTTAATTTATAAAATTACAACAATGATCAAGATTGATATAATTTTTATCTATTCTGATTTAATAGTATAAAATTCATCCCAAATTTTATTTCTACTCAAAAACATTATTTTCTTTGTACGACTTTCAATGTCAGACAACTCAATCAACGCACTCTCTAATGTCAAAAAATTTCATGAACAAGTACCTCTGCCTTCTCTTCGCCCTTTCTCTTATTTTCTATATGTTCACTTTAATTTTAAATTATGAAATTAAAAAAAATTATTTAAAATATAAATATTACATAAGCAATATTGTAGTTTTAATATTTTAGAGTGCCTTCAAACATGTAGTTTTTATTAGTAATTAGAAAGTACGGATATGATACAATACGGATATGATGATACAACAAAACTTAAAAAAATAAGATACACATACGGTTATGATACGTCTATGAATATACATATTTTATATTTTTAATATTATGTAATAACTTAATAATAGCTGTAATTTTTAGATATTCTTTAACAAAAATAAATAACATTAATAATTTGTTACTTTCAAAAAGTTACATATTGTCTTATTATGATACATCTACAAAATAAACGTGATTAATTAAAAGAATTAAGACCAACATTTAACTATATTGTTTTTTTAGAAGTATTTGTTGTTAAGATTATTGAGTAATCAACTCATTTAAATTTTTTGAATATGTACTAATGAATACTACTTGAAAAACACCCATGTGTCTTTCAAGTCATATGAATTTTATTCATGTATGCATTGTATGTGATATAAAAAGGAAGAGATAAAGATTAAAACTAAAAATCACACATACTTCCTACATATAGAAGTATCCACGAAGTATTCATATTTTTTATTTATTATTGAAATATTTTGTGTGTATTCGATACATATCTGATAAATATTATCGTATTCGATATTATATCGAATATGAATATATTGACTTTGAAGAAATATTCATATTTTATATAATGTGGCCAAAGCTTGGATGAGTTGGAGATTCTTTTGCATATCTTTTAATACTTCGGATTTCAAATTCATAGATAAAACGACAATCAGTTTGATTGGAATGTTGTGGTAGTGGACTGCACACTTTATCCATTCTAAGTGTTTTTATGTGCTAGACTGTCGTTGTAATGAGAAACATGTGCCTTCTTATGATTGTCGGTCGACATTTATAAATATATGAATGGGGCCGCTTCTACTTGGGCGGAAAAAAGCCTTCTACTTGGGGAAATAAGATATTTTGGTTTAAATATAAGAGGTATTCAGGTCAATTTATGTACATCGTATAATAAAAATTAAAAAAAGTCAAAAATAAATGTTAATATCAACAAAAAATTTGATATAATTCCTATTATCCCTCTCAACGATAAGACTATTACATATGACTTTATCAATTAGATGTTGCTAACAAATTCCATTATGTAATATGGAATGAATACATTGATTTCCCAACAACAATTTTAACAATTATTATCCAACTACGCAATATCTCCTATATTTTTGTTAATTAATTAATTTTTAATTGCACAATTATCCAAACAAGCTATTATGCTTCAACCACCACAACACAACATCCACCTCCACCTCCAAAGCACTGCTACAATCCTTACTACTAACTTCATCAAAATCGACTCATTGCACATTCACATACCTAGTTCTAACTCACTCTTCAAATTGACAAAAAAATTTTTTAAAAAAATTAAATATTAAAATGAAAAATGGAAAACAAAATCAAAGCTAAAAGTTGAATTTGGAATGAAAATCAAAATTAAAATTGAAATAAAAAAAAACAGAACTAGAATCAAATTTGATATGGAATTTTTTTTTCCAATAAGTAAAATGGAAAATTTGAATGAAATAAAAATTGGTAATACAAAATCCTAATCGAAGTCGAATGAAGTTTTTCAAGAAGAAAGTGAAACAAAGATTTTTGAATATTCAAAAATCAAAATCAATTTTGAAATAGAAATTGAAACTTGATTTTCTGAATTTGACAATAAATTAAAGAAAAATGAGATAGAAAGCTTGATCTATGATTCAAACTGTAAAATCTGGGTAAATTTGAATTTTTATGAAAATGGGCAAAACGATAATTTGTCACTACGATACGGGTTGAAAACCCAAAATTTTCTAAAACTCAGATAACGAAATGGACCTCATCGTTGGATTTGTTTAACAAAATTTAGTTACCTAGTCAATTTTCGTCAAATTCTGAGACAGTCAGATTTTTTATATTTTACGAGGCGATCGAGTGTCGCGTGACCTAAAAACGAAATATGGAATAAAATTTTGAAGTTAGAAAATAATTTAAAAGAAGTTCATATAAAAATATTTTGAATTTGAATCAGAACAAAATTTAATCGTTTCGGAATGAAATCAGAACGAAATTTAATCGTTTTGGGATGAAATCAGAACGAAATTTAATCATTTCGGGATGAAATTGGATCTAAGAATGGAGAACGTGTGGCGCGATGAGGACCAAACATTTAAAGGGTACAAATTGGGGAGAAAAATCAGATTTCTCCCTACACCTATCAGATTATCCGAAAAATAGAAAGAAGCTCTACCTTCTTTCTACGATCTACGCCGCTACATTGCTCGAATCGACTCAAGCCAAGAACAAAAGTTGTTTCACTCGTCGAGTGCTACAAAACCATACCAAAAAGGATGAATTTTGCCGAAGATTCAAAAATAGAATTTCAGAAAAATCAAAGGCTAAGGCTTCATTGGTGTTCTTGAAGGCTTTCTATTTTTATTTTACACTTCAAGAGGTAGAGTTTTCTTCTCAATTAAGTTTATTTCTAATCTAGGATGATTATACAGAATGGTTAGGGTGTTAAAGGTATATAAAACTTACCTGTTCTTGTTGAGTTGATAAAATGAGTATTGAAAATGGGTAAAAATTAATTCTAGCATGAATTTGTATTTAGAAATTGCTAACTTGTAATTTCTTAAAAAATTGTGATATGTGGGCATACTATGTGTTTATATTATGTCATGAATGAATTAAGTGTGTTGTTTACATTGAATATGGAATAACATACTTAAGATTGATGTTGGTATACGCATATAATATATTGACATTGTCATTATTGATGGTTATTGGAATGTTCATATTGTGCACATGACATATGAAATCTGTTGTTAAAATTTTCAATTGAGATCTTAGTTGTATAATGATGAGAATTGTAAATTATATATATACAATTACATATGCACGAAAAATATCGTATTCGTGGGCATTTGACATGTGTGGATGTGTGTGTATGTTATTGGATCAAACATCATTTTTGGTGATTGATAAGTGGGTTCGATACAGTCGGACCAAGGTTCGACAGAGTCGCGCAGCTACATTAAAAACTTGTGTCGGGTATAACAAAAAGGGCTAGATACTCCTTAGGATGCAAGACTCAGTTACCGGTTTATACACAATCGCTAGTGAAAGTCTAAAAAAATGTATCGGTGTGTGGAACCAGCGGTGAGACACCAAAATCCCTCTACCTAACAAAGACACATAGTTTATTTTTATTTTTTTAAAAAAATGTCATTGGATGTGCAATAACAATGACAAGAGTTTTGAATGCCCGATTTTATATTCATGGTATTGCATGGTGATGGAAGCCAGTAAAGACTCGAGTTGAATTGCATGTGTGAGTCTTATCTTATAACATGACATGACATAAAGAATCAATCATTGAATTGCATATTTTTGAATAAATGATTGTTGTTTGTTGAATTTGCATGTAAACATTCTATATGCATCTAGGTTAGAGAGTAGTCTCTTTAGAAAATATCCTAATGAGCGTGACTCACCCTTTATGAGAACAACATTTCAGGTGCAGGACGGCTCTCACTCAGACCCTCATTGATGAAGAAAAGCCCACTTGTAACTTTTAAACCATATTTTGTGAAACTTTTATGTAATTTGATTTTAAGCATGTAATCATATGCAATTGATTATAATCAAGCTCATATGAACTATGTTGAATGTAAAACTTTATAATACATGTGCTCAGATTGATATAAGATGAGTTGGAATGAATTGAAAATCGAAAATAGACAAAATTAGCAAAACTAGGCACACATACAACTAGATATGATGTAGTAGGCAGTTTCTACCGATAGGTTTAACTGGTAAAACTTTTCCAGTAGGGTTCTCCTACCGGTAGAATGTCACTGTTCCTACTGGTAGAATAATTTCAGTAGACTATTTCTACCGATAGGTTTTTACAGATTTTCTAAAAACCAAGTTAAGCTTAGGCAAGAATTGCACTAAATCAAGCCGAAGCTTAGAATCAAATGATAGTCAACTCGAGTAGAGCCCAAACATATATAAGCTGGAACAAACTTTGCTAGATTCAAAGCCCCTAAATGGGAATTGCTTACTTTTTAAACTAAGAAGAATGGGGAAAATACCCTTTTTAGCTTCCATAGCAAAAGGGAAAAAATTAAGAAAGAAAAGCAACTGTCAATAATTTGCTTCCTCTTACACGTTAGCTTTTATTCATATCCAGCCTTGACAGGTATGATGACCATACGCAGACCTATCTTAGCAACCTAATGCTCACTCCAGTATATTTTCATCCAACATATTGCACCTAGGATCAATGAACATGATCTTCTTATAGGAATTATTCATGAACGTTTTAATCATTTAGTCGTCTTACTAAGTATAAACCACATTATTAAGAAAAGAAGCAGTATGTATGCATATCCCTTGGATCCAACTAGCATTCTTTTAATCTATACAACACAAAAGTAAAAACACCACATTTGTATGAGATTTATCCTAAATAATACGGGAGACCCTTTTACAGATACCTATCGTGTGACGGTGTACAGGGAAGAGTAAGAGATAAGAAGTTTTCATGCATTTAACAACAGGATGAGAGAGAAATTTTGATATGCTTTGTGCTCATAGAAAAAATTCAAAAGCTGCAAAAACAAGAAGGCAGATAGCTATATGTTTTTTATTGCACGACAACAAATGCCATGGCTTTTGCTTAAACTGAAATCACAAGCTTAAGAGGCTCTTAACTAGGCGTAGTTTAGTTGAAAACTGAGTCAAGTACTTTTCAACCTCTCCATACCAACATTTTTACTCACATATATAGCTGATTTTCAATCAAGAAAGCTAGGGAAAAGGCCTGACTATATACTTCCTTTGTCAGACTCCAACAATACTTATGAAGGCCCCAGCATCACAATACTCGACTGGCTAACTAAAAAGCAAAAGATAGAGATTATAGAGATAGATATTGTACAACTGACCCTTCCCGAGGCATAAGTAATATGATTTATAAGGTTTTGCACATGCTTTCTTCAAACTTGAGCATTGATTATCTCTAATATCACCGTTTCAGTGAGCAATAGCAGTCACAACTCAATACTGTCCATATTTATAAATATACATACATTCATAAATGTGTGTGTGTGTGTATTTGTATACTCCACGAAAATCCCAATTTGATTTTCTCTTACCTACGGAGCTAAGTTTCACTCACGAAAACCCATCTTAATGCTTTAAAACCCTCAGAAGATCTTCCTCTCCTAAGCTAACGGACAATTTTCGAAGCTTACATAGTTAAAACCCTAAGAACACGTGTTGAACAATCAAGAGGATGCTAGATAGATATTTACATATATAATAACCGAGGCAATAACATATAATCTAATTGCAGAAAAGCAGGTTTCGGATCTTAAGATCACCGAAGTTTTTAAATCTTTTAGTAATTCTATGCATCCAATTTTCTGTAATTCACATAAAATCAAATATATATATATATACAATCAACTCCTATAATGTCACATTGTCAAGGTAAAGTAGAAGGCAATATCAAGTAAAAATGACAAAATAATCGAATTAAACAGATCTCTATCAACAAAAAGGAATAAGCCGTTGCCGATGAAACTAAGAGCTCTAATATGCAGATTATGAAGTTATAGAAAAATAGAAGCATCCATGAAATCGGAAAGAATTAGAAGGACCTGGTGCTAGCGAAATCATAGAGCTTGCCAGTGCTCGAGAAGATCATCACTCCGACCTCCGCATCGCAGAGGATCGCCAGCTCCTTCGCTTTCTTCAGCAATCCATTCCTCCTCTTCGAAAACGTCACTTGCCTGCTCGTCGAGTTGTCGATCCTCCTAATCACTATCTTCCCTCTCCCCATTCCTACCTTCGTGATCTACAAAATGAGTTTATATATACGAGTGTGTGTGTGTGTATATATATAGAGAGAGAGCGAGAGCGAGAGAGAGAGATAGAAGGAAGAAGAAAAAGGAAATCAGCCACAGATGAAGAGGTAAATAAAGGCAAAGAAATTTGAATTTCGAGAAAGAGAGGAAAAATGGAGAGAAATCAGTGCTTGGAGAGAGAGAAAATGAGAAGGATTTTCCGAGAAAAACTTACTTTTGGAGTGGAGATTTTTGTTTATGGAGACAAAAGGAGGCTTCGCAATCGTCGTTTTAGCCAGTTTCTGAATTCACATCACCAGCACCAGCTATATAAGGTAAGTGTGTCCTCTTTTGTAAAGAAGAACCTTAAAACCGCACATTATTGGGCTGCACAAAACCACTAGAGGTTATACAAAACCAACTATTAATGGTGGTTTTCTACTTGGACGACACGTGGGTCAATCTTATTGGTGGATCTTGGTAAAAGTGCCGTCTGCATTGTAGATCGTCGACGCGTGGGTCGGGGAATTTTGAATAATGCACTACCCCTTTGGGAATTTCGCATATTTTAAAATTACTTTCAAGTGACCATTTTGTCCTTTTGTACTGATAAGGGCAAAAGTGTCCTTAGAGTAGCACATAAAGAGCGCGACCGCAGCATATTGTTGTGCAAATATGAATGCCATTCACCTCCCATCATCCACCGGCATGGTTGGTGCATCTACCATTTAGAGGGAGAGAGTGGCGAAGGGTGATTGGTTTATCGTTATCAAAAATGCCCCCACACAAAGTTGGTTGATCCTGAATTTAAATTTTTTTATTTTTTATTTTTTTAATTCAACAATTAGAGATATTTAAGTAAACTTATGCATACTTTAATTAATTCTCTATCTGATCCAATCAAAGATAAATTATCTATGTCGAGACTAGAATATTCATGAGAAATCATTTTTCATGGTATAGCTCTTAAGAAATTATCAAAATTCAAATTCAATATGTCTAAATTTAGTCTCTATTACCACTTGAACTATCTCTTAAATTTATTTTCACAGTTATTTGATCTATGATGGATGATTGCACTAGATATGTTCAAAAAATTTATCGATTATTCTAAGAGATAAAAACTTATCGGTTAAGGAAAAAAGATAACCATTGGGGGGGGGGGGGGGGTGGAGGGTGGGGGGGAGGGTGACTACATTTTTTAGAATATGTTATTAGACAAGTACTATGCATTAGGGTCGATAATAATACTATCTTAAAAGGAAGTACTTTATTGAAAAAAAAGTATAGCACATGGAACAAATAAAGGATTCAACTATAGTGTAGTATATAATTTTAAAGTTGTAAATGGTATATAGACCTACTGCTACAAATTTAATATAAATTTGGACTAATATTATTTATTTATATACATTGGCAAATTATTATTAAAATTGAGAACTAACTATTACAATTTTCAATTGATTGGAGTGATCCAATAATCAAGTTTGTTCTCCCGCAAGTGAGAGGTTTTAAATTTTGATATTTTTCATACTCTCTAAGGACTAAATACTGAGGATATATGTCCTTAAAATAACTCGAACTATGATGGCTGGTCTTAAAAATTGAGAAAACAGTCACCACAAATCTTAATACCCCTACAAAAAAAAAACTACTATAATTTTCGAACAATGTATATATAACTATATACAATAGATAACCTCTTGGTGGAGAGAATCTTGAAAGAATCAAGATCAACTCAACTAGGCCAAGTAGCTTCAAATAATATTACTTTTTAGAGAGAATTTCACTTTATACCTCAAAAAATTAAGTTTTTATACTTGTCCCTTTAAAAATGAGATTTATCACATTATGTTTTTAATATATTAAAAATATTATAATGTGACTTTTCCATTACTTGTTCCATCAAAACTCACCTTATTGACATTGAAAAAATTAGTAATGAAATAATCAAATTGCAATACGTTTAATACATTGAAAGTGTAATATAAAAAATTTAATATTTAAAAATACAAAATATTTTTTTAAAAATATTTTAGCATGCAAAATGCAATTCACCCTTCTTTTATAGATGCACATAACTTGATGGTGCTTGTGTTTGTGTGCATAGTATTTCACGAAACGCGCACATCATGTGTATCCTCGTTGGTCCAAATTTAAATTCCAATAAAGTTGTGAATATGGTTGCTAATTAGAATATGAATGATCATATATTTTGTGTTAGTTAAATATCAAATGTAAAAAAAAATAAATTAAATACTTACTTTTCATCAAATATTATATAACGATTACATTCTTCGTGATTTATTTATTTTTTGTTTAACGGTCAAGAGTAAATTACGCATCGAGTAATTAATTATAATTATTGAATTAAAAATATGTTGTATAAAAGTTAAAAATATATAATTAATTTAATGACTACAATAAATTTATTGTCTTACTAAACTTCAAATTAAATTTCGCAAACATTGGGATTTTGTAGAGTGTCAAACAATACTCAAGCAAGAATATGCTCATTGCTTATCAGGAAAAAAAAACTAGAGAATATGCTCGTCATTTTCTCCAATCTGAGATAAGGTTAGAATTAAAATTAGAGTTAAAGATTATATACCTAAAATTGGACTATGATTGATTGTCTAACCCGTCCAACTTATTAGAGCAAGAGTGAAGGGTTGTTAACTCATTACATTTAATTTGAACTTTATGTGACTTGACTCGCTTGGCGAGTACGCCAAACGATTAAGTGCCCACGTGTCGATTCACAACGTGTGGGGTACGCGTAGTAAATAACTGACAATGGGCTTCCTCTTTTGGAATTTAAGGTTACCACATTAGGAAATATATAAGCGTCCCTGCAAAGCCTGTTCTTGCTGCCAACAGCCACATGGGTTTTTCGTTTGGCACCCCCCCCCCCCACCACTTTCTCCGGGGGGATTCTCTATGTCTCCCCAAGAACACCATGGATCATCCAATCTAACCCATTAAAATTTCAATAATACTGTACGTATCATTTTTGTGTACCACTTCAATATAAATATTTAGATTAATAAATTTATTTCAATATATTGAATATTTAAAATTTGAGATCACAACACATCAAGTAATAAAAATAAGATAACGCACAAAAATGATAAATTTTTTTTAAATATATATATTATAGAGAGAATATAAACCCTTTAGCTTATATCATGTCACAAAGAGAACCCCAAACGTCGTAAGGGGAATCCATTTGTGTCACATATAGATAGGATATTAAATTTGCTTTTCATAAAGACAGTAAGCGTTTACCACTAGTGCGTTTGCCTAGAGCATAAAACTTTCTTTATTTTTTTTTTCCTTGGAGAGTTGGGGTTCCGACAAGGGAGGGACAAAGGGCTAGAGAGGAGGGAGTGCATGGTCTTGCTAGGATAAGGGGTGGTCGCCGGTGGCTTTGTGAGTGGCTTGGCTCACCACTTGTTTTCCACTAGCTCTATCCGTTTTGATATTTCTGGTCTTACACCAGACAAGAATGAGGGCTATGTTGTGTGTCACATATATATGGAGTTTGTTGTCCAAGAACTCTATGCCACACATCTAAAGGCAGTGTCCAAAAATAAAAAAAAAACCATCTAAAAGCATGAACCAATTTGGTTTAATCGAGTGGATTATCATTAATTCCCTTAGGAATCTATACTCAGAAAGTCAAGGGATCACTCTTTACCAAAAAATAAAGCTTGATTACTTTGTTCGGCTGGTTGACAGTTTTATTATGTTATTATTTGGATTATTCTTCACCTGTTGTGCGTGTTTTTTTATCTGTTAGAGTATCTCTAACAAAACATGTAAACTCCAAAATAATTAAAATTTAATTAATCAAAAGTAACAATTATACTCTAATAGAATATGTTCAAATGCTCTAAAATAATTTTTTGTTACAGTAATACTCTAAATATAGAATATCACTATAGTAACTTATATAAATATTTTATAATATTTTCTCTCTCCTTCTATCTTTTTCCATTTCTTGTTTTCACTATTTGTCTTTTCCTCTATTTTCGTTGTCTATCACTCTCCCTCAAACAATCCCAACAAAAATACAAAATGAATGAAATAATATTTTTAAAAAATAGTTAAAATATAAAAAATATGTTAAAATGCCTATTGAAAAAGTGAGTAGTTAAAATAAAAAATATATATTTATGAATTACTAAAATAATAAACTTGGTTGGAAATGTTTTTAGAGATACATTATTCAAATTGAAAAATGCTATTTGGACCTAATTTGGGGACCTAATCTACGGACATAATTCAATATAACCATTAGATTTGTTGTGGACTCTATTTAACATTAGAACTCACAATTAATTCTAATAGCACTGCTCTCAAAAATTACACTAGTGTAGTCTAACGATTTATATCAATATACACGTGTTGAGATCCAATAGGCTTGGATGAACATGTAGAATACAATCACCGTTGGCCAATCGAGGCCGACTTTCGCACGCTTTTATCGAACTTAAAAAACGGCAAACAATGTTAATCTTACCGAGACCACAAACAAGCCCTGGACGACGCAAAATCTCTCTAACCAACTGTGAAGTCACTAGTGTTATATATTTATATATTATTTTATATATAAATATTAGTTATTATCTATGTCCGAAGGTATAAAATAATAAAAAATAATAAATATATTTGTATTCATATCTAAAATTAAATCACAAATATAGAAAAATAATAAAAAAAATTAAATATCGATCTGTAGTGGGGGTGAGAGGTGGTGGACGACAATGATAGTGATAAGAGACAGTGATAGTTGTGGTGGACAACAATGACCGTGGTGGCGGTGGTTGAGGTGGCAAGGGCGGCGACGGTGGCGGTAGCGACAACGATGGTGGTGGTGACGGTGGGGGAGTTGGTGGCGGCTGTGGTGGTGGCGGCGGCGGTAGCAACGGCGATGGAAATGATGGTAGAGCGGTTTCAAACATTATTTTTTTATAAAAGTATTAATGAAAAATAATTTCTAAAAGTACTTTTAAAAAAGTCACTCTAAATACACCCTTAAAAACCTATTTTTCCTATTAAATTTAGAGTGTTAATATTAGCCGTTAGATTAATTTTAAAGTAAAATTTAAAACGATCTCAACCGCGAATAACAAAAGTCAGTTTGTTTATCTTTTGAGATTTGAATTATAAACTATTTTATTATATAGATAACAGTAAAATATGCATCGACATTTTTTCATCTTTTCACTTTTCATCATACTAAATATAAAAAAAAAATTAATTATTTATACTTTTTACCCCTTCTACCAAACACAAAAGAGAAAAACAAAAATTCCTCTATCAAACTACAAAAAATGTATCACTTTTATTTTTCATCCATCCTATCAAAAACACCATTAGTAAAACATAATGTTTTGGTGTTCGAAATATATTCCACCTTCAATTTGGTGAAACTAATATTCCAACTTCAAAGGTAATTCAAGTGATAAATAACAACAAGTTGTAAATTTAAATGTTTTGACTTAAAATTTTGGTAACTCTTTGGGGTCAATTTATGAAAGATTTATTTTTTATGAATATCGTAATCATGACATGAATGACTTATTTTTGATCAAATTAAAAAAAAATTGATCAAAATATACATAAATTAACACGAATATCATACCCATTGAAAAGAGAAATTAAGATTATGGTTCTATTTCAGTGGGCGAGTAAAACCCACCTATGGAGGTACCCAATTTCTTTCTCCAAGTACTACTATGTCCAAGAAAAAGTTGGCAAAACCCAAGTGAACACAGTTTCGTGGACCAATGAGATTCGGCTGTCCAAGAAAATCAACCAATGGGTGACCTTCGAGATTATTAACAGCGTAGATCAAGGATTTTATGTAATAAAATAATTAATGTTCCATGCCTCCGACGAAAAAGGATGGACAAGTGTCAATCATATGCCAAATGATATGAGTACGAAGACCAAGAAGAAAGTGATGTCCGAAAATAGCTTCCATTACTTTAAGATCTAAACAGTGGAAAATGTGTCTATGCTGAGTCATTGTCTCGGTGGAGAACACATTTTTTTTATGGATAGTGATGTCTACAGTAGTGATATGCACAGAAAAAGTTCACATTAGGGATGTAACAATGCCATGAGAAGTAAATGAAATCCATCCTTTTTTAGAAATTTAGATTTTCCCCTACATTTTAAGGTGGATTTTGACACAGCAATCAAATTATTTTTAACGCGATTTAAGTGTTACGATTTTGAACTATTGATAAACTATTGGTTAGCAGAATACGATTCTTATTGACCATCAACTCGATCTCAATCAATGAGCGTTCATCTCCATAGTACCTTTATTTTGTTAGCAACACAGGTCGAATGATTGAGGTTGAGTTCTTCCCTTGTTGAGAACTCATATGGTAGTTAGAGTATAAAAAGTTTGGGACATATCATATGGTGATAAGACCAAAAAATTATGTGTGATCTTGCCTTTGGATCTATTGTTTCATTATATATAGCTGGCCAAATTTGACATTTTTAGTGATGTTGACCATTGAGGGGAACAAGAAGAAAACATGAAGACGAAAAAATGCTGACCACCAAAGTTTACATGACATTATTTGCATGCAACAATAATGGGTCAAAGTTAGAAAGGTTCATCACACTACATCACAATCTACACAGGTATTCAAAAATAGAAGGGCAGATTGAAAGAGAGTAACTTAGTGACGTTTTCTGAAGGGTGTCATTATGTGGAAAACAGCCAGCTAACACATGTTATAAAGGGGTTAGTGTTGATTGATCAAATATATAAAAAGTTGAATTAGGTTAGATAGCATGACTAAAGACAATTTACCATCCCCACATTAGGAGATTTCGATTAAAAAAAAAAATCATACCATAGCGATATCTGCAAGAGATAAGTAATAAGATGACTCTATCTCTATTTCAAAAAAATTGATTCTCAAATTTTTACTCGTGATTTATTATTTAGGTGGTTGAGCCTTTGAAATCACCCCCATATCCCAATCCTTTAAAAATGTTGTCAAATTTAATCCCCGTTAATGGGATTTGGGGGAAAGTATTGGGTAAACACGATCTATAACCTTAAGATTATTGGACCTGATTATGACCAATGACCCTATTTGTATTTGGACCAGATAACTACCAAACTTTTGGCATTAATGAATTTTTCCTTTGATTTAACGATTAAGAGTATTTAGGCCAGTTTACGTGCATATCGACTAATCCTCTCTTAGGTTTGGTCAAAGACAGGTCATCCATGTTAGGATTAGAATAATTAGGAGGGATAGATCCCTTATGACTTAATCCCAAAAATTGTCAAAATTCAGACTCAAAATATCTAAATTTATAACTTATTCTTGTTATTACTTGATCTACCTTTCGTGTAGCCATCAACGGCTTTTGAATGGTTGCTATAATATTTTTGGTTGGGTTACATATATGTAGGCCATAGACTAGTACAGGAACTTTGTTGCCCAATTAAAAATGAAGAAAAATGTGACTTAGAATAATATTGACGTACAAGATACTGGCCTTATTAGTGGACCCATTCAAATAGAGAAAGCACTAAAGTAGGAAAGTTAAGGATAGACAACCTAACCTATCAGGGAAAAGGCTATTGTTAGGCATAAAGAGATACCACCGGGCTGGGTAGCCAAAGATTCTTCCCCATTGCCCCCACTTTTCATACAATTTATATATTAAGTAATCTCTTGGGATTCTCTTTCCACGGACTTTTTTCCAAATATGAAAAGAAGAAGAAGAGGAGGTCAAGTCCATGTTGTTGAAGGGGCAATACATTTTGAGTTCATTTATAGTACGATGTTAATGTGCAAATCTGACATAAAATTATGGAAACTTTTAATGCGTAAGCTACGATTTTAATGAACATAATCAATCATGAAATATTAGGATTGATACCATATTTTTTGTGATCAATAATGAGTGTTTATAACTTCTCTTTTTAAAATTGTAATTTTACCGTACAAAATAGTAACCAGACGATACCAATGCTAGAGTTTTTTTTTTTTTTTTTTCTGGGTATTGTAGAGTTTCGCTAAAATTATGAAACAAGGGTATAACTTGTGGAATTTAACATATACATTTAATATATTATTTAATAAACATCGGTCATGCATAATATGAACTTAACTATACACGATATGAATCTGAGATAACACAAATTCAACTGTATATAACTTATACATTGGGCAAACGCAACCATTTACAACTATAAATTGACCTTGACCAAAAAAATTTTAATTATGAAAGGACGTAGCATGACCAGGAGGACTAATTTTACTCTTATATCGCTTGCAACGAATATTAATGCCACAAAAGAGGTGATAGCACATTTGACCGTTTCTTTATTTATTTCTGTAATCCCGTGTAGTTTGAAAGCCTAGATCATCAAATAAAACATCACCTTGACGAAACTTGTGTTTAAAGTCCCAATGTATAGAGTTCTATTTGACTTTGTTTTAGGTAACAACTAACAACAAGGGCGTGTTAAGCATATTTTCCTGCTTGGCACATTTGGGGAGGGCATGTCCTGGTGAAGTTGTGGATCACCCCTCTCTCTCTCTCTCTCTCTCTCTCTCTCTCTCTCTCTCTCTCTCTCTAAATTAATAAAATTGATTCAATCTCTTTCCTCCCACGCAATTCCAAAATTTTTTTATAAGGGATGTGGACAAGCATACTATCATGCTTGACACATTTGGGGAAGGTATGTCCTGGTATATGTACGGATCATTATTCTATCTTTAAAAATGTACGTTAAACAATTATTGAAGTTTCTGATAACTTGTAGAAAAAAAATGAAGTTTAATCCAAATCGTCTTGGTTGGAGGTGCTTGCTCCAATTAGTACGTGACAAGCAATATGTGTTTGAGAGACAGAGAGAGAGAGAGTGTGTGTTGAAGTATGGGGTGAAGCCCAACCCAATAAGGGAATGACTTTGGGCTGCAGTAGAGACAGCCCAACGGCTACCATTATACTCCATGAAAAGTACGTGCCTCCACGCTTTTGAATTCGGGTGGGCCAAACAACGGTAGATATTTTGTGACTTCTATAAACACCCGAACGAATTGTCAAGAGTAAAACACTCCTATTTCCTGCTTTGGTGCCCAAAATTGTCAATCGAAAAACTTCCTCAGCCCGTAGAAAGAGATCGATCGGTATTCAATCTTCATCCAAACAAGACCGTTCTCAGAATCAGAGGTTATTCTGTATTTTGATTTCAATTGCTTCACCTAATTCCATCGTTGGTCCTGTTTGATTTGATCCTTATTATTATTATTCAAGATAATTCTGATAAGAGAAGGGGGGTTCTTTGTGGAATTCCTACTTGGGCACTAATGGCTGTAGCTTCTTCTGATCACGTCACAAGCATCTGCCCTCACTGGTAAGAGACTTTTTTCAAAAAATTTCTTCGAATTTGATGTCTGAATATATACACTACACGTTTGTTTATTTATATATGCTTAGACATGGTCATAATGATATGAACTCATGGTTCTCTAAGAGCTTAGTATGTATATGTACTCTTGGGCACCCTTATGTTGCAAGCGGTTTTGAGGGTAAGTTCTTTCATATCACATAATCCATAAATTGGGTTTTTGATTGTCTTCATTATTGGTCTGACAATTGTGTTTTCGATGTTATTGTTGCAAATTTGTAATCAGCCTTTTGTTTTCATCACCCTATGTTGTGTTTGGTACTCCCTTTTGATTATGCACTATAGTCTATATATTTCTTTAAGGAAATGCCATCCCGTAAGTTTCATTATACTAGATAGTTTTTCCAATAGGTAGTAGTGCTTTATTTCCTTTAGAACTACTGATTTTGCACGAAAGCTCCCGTATAGATTCTAACGAGGAGCCTAATGGAGACCTTTTGGGATATTAATGTATAAATATGCATATTCCTGGACATTGTTTTGATTCAAAAGAGGGTGTTATTTAGCTTAGCTGGTAGTTACTTGGTAGTGCGCTCCGAGACACAGTTGACACCCTGTTTTATTCTTTCATCTTCCCTTCTATGGATAGGGAAGTTGTGGATTGGTGAGCTACCTTGGTGGTTTAGCCTTCACTTGTGGCCCAAATTTAGAGAGAAAAAAGTAGGCAAAACGATTGCTTTCACTATGGCTGCCTATTGGAAGCTGTCATGAATCGTTGTGATTGTTGTTTCTATATTGGTTAAAGGATTGAAAAAGTTGCATATGTGGATCAAACTTTTAATTAAGTTCATGTTTCAATCTCTTTCACAGCATTTTATATCATTCATATTTCCATTCGTCAGGACAGTGTCTTTGTTTTGTGTTATCCTGGTTAATTGACAAAATTGTATTGAATGTGGCATGAAAGGCATGCCTCCTCTGAGAGCTGCTCTCGACATGCTGTGACCAATACCATCTTGCTTGCTTATGTACATATAAACAGTGTAGCCCAATGGTGGAAGCTTTGAACCAGGTCCTATGGTGTAGCTTTTTGATTCACCAGTTCTTGCCATGTTTGTCTTGAATAATACTTAAGTATTATTATTAATTGCTATACTATTATTTTGAGTTATACGGTTGATAATCTTGTCAATTCATGGTGTATAGCAGTGATGCAGCTTATTCTTTTACACAGGCATACACTATAGTAAAAATTGTTTGTTGTGCAAAAATTTGTACCAAAGTACAGGACATAATGTCAAAACACTAGAAGGATCACTATATGAAAGACTCGAGAGTAGAACTATCAGTTTGTATAACATCAAGAAAACGGAATTGAAGGGTTATCACACAAGTTCAAGCTATATATACAAAAACAATAAATAGGTTTGCATCCAATCCCTCTTTTAGCACCTTTGATTGTTGGGGACCAAACTGGGTATAAAGGAATGTATATGTAATGCATGCCGTTACTTTTCCATGTTACTTGGACTTTGACTATATTGTTTATTTGCAGTTGGTTATCATGTACTATTTTGCTTATTGTTAAATGGTTGATGGCCTGTGACTGCATTTTCCTGATCTATTATTATTTTCTATTGGTTTTACCTAAAAATTTCCTGCTGAGTGATGGCAATCCTTGTTTTCACAGTGACAGAGCTATTCCTTCCTCAAATATTGATTTGCATTATGCTCACTGCTCCCGGAATCTAGAAAAATGTAAAGTATGTGGTGATATGGTTCCTAAAAAATATGCCGAGGAACATTTCTTAGGGACTCATGCTCCGGTATGTGAGATCTTGCTTTAGAAAATGCTTACCTAATATATTTGTATACCTTGTTTTTTCTCATTGGGGTTTTGTTGTAGTTGTTAGATGAATTGGTAGAGTCTTTAAGAACCAAAAAGAATCATTAGGAGTCTTTAAGAACTAAAAAGAATTATTAGGAGTCTTTGGACTAACATTGGCAGGAAAATCTTCTAGAAATATGTCAATGGCAGCATTGATGTTGTTTCCCATTGAGTTTGATTATGTCATGCATAATTTGCATTCAATATCTTTGGCACTCTTATTACTTCCACCTCTATATATTAGCATGGATTCATTTTGGTCTAGATATCATGGGGTGCCACATCTTCTTTGATGCAACTTATAGTTGTTCATTGGGTTACTTTGCTTTGAAGGTGTATGATGAACATGTTAAGACAACCTAATTGGACCACCAAAGCCTAGTACTGAAATAGAGTGGAGAATTTGAGGAGAAGTGGTGAAGTTCTTTTCCATGTACTCATTCTAAGAGTGGGCCCAGAATCGGAGGGAATTATGTAACTGATTTGCACATCTAAGAACCTGTGCAAAATGGCTAACATTGTGTCTGTCTGCATATGCAGTGCCCCCTTCAAGAGTATTTAGGTGATCACACTTGAGGTCAGAGTTGCTGAGTGACAGTGGAGTCATGTTCTCAAGTTAGTTAATGGGGCAAGCTTGGCTTGTCAGGTGAGGTGGGCAGCTGCCTCAACCACCATTCAATCCAATCATCAGTCCACACTATCAAGTTATCCCATGGGCTTTTGATGTTATTAGGACTATCAATCAACACTAAACTCAATACATGGTTACTTTTTTCGGCTTTCTCATAATACAATATGTGCAAGTCTCTTAATGGACAGCCTCAAATATATATGTTTTATGGCCTATAGGGTCATTTCTTAGCTGAATGGGCCTATCCCTTGTGTTGAGGCAATGTAATTGCATGCTACCTGTTCAGCGTGGACATAAACATGGGAAACAGGGCACTTCCTTTGCTCACGTTCCATATCTGGATAAAGTAGGCACAGACAACACAAGGACATGACAAAAGAGAAGCACTTCGTTGGGATACATCACATTGGCTCATCCAGGCTAGGCATAATAAGCTTCACTTCCTTCACTAGTGGCTTCTCCATCAGTTTGGCAACCCATGTGGAGATAGGAAATATGCAAACTTTTCTATCAAAAGTTTTTCCCCTGAGGTTTTCTTTCTTTTCTTTTTCCCGGCCGAGGAAAGGGGGGTGCGGGGTTATTTGATGTTCTCCAAATCATACATAAAGTATAGACTATTACAGTGCTTGTAGGCCCGTATTGTCATATATATTTTCTTAATTTTTCAGTGCTAAGGTTTTCAAGGGAGGAGGTTGGTTTCTTATCTTTTTCCTCTTAGCTCAAGAAAAACGCTTTTTTAGGGGTAAATAGCTGAAGAAAAGGATGATCAATTAATCTTTTGTTGATAGATAAGCTGGAATCCACTAAAACGCATTGAGGGGGCAAAACCCGTGTACGAAACCTGCACATTCTCTTTGAATCTAATGAAAGGATCTTCAACTTCTTTTTTTTTTGGGTTTTGGGGTGGGGTGATAAATACTAAAGAATCATTAAATTTATCTCTGATTATACTACAGATTTTTTCTCCTGTAAACTGTCTTCTTCTTCAAAGGCGTGGAGGAGCAGCCATCCATAGAACTTGCCTACCACTGTTCACCTCTTCCCCTTTACCATGATTGCCTGCAGGATCCACCTCTGTTCTTGGTACCTTGCTCTTCCTGAAAATGGCCGCTACAAGAGTGCATCAATGGATGATTAACTGTCTCCTTGTTTGCACATGCAGCTCCAGAAATACCTTAACCAGATTATTTGCCATCAAAACCACCTTGAAGGGCACCTTCTCCTTGAAAATAGAGCACTTTACATTAGCACCACCAAGCAACTCCTTGTTTTATCTTTTCCAAAAAAAGAAGGAAGCTATTACACAAACTTTTTTTTTTTTTTTCGGTGCTATGGAGAGAACCTCAGTAACAATTATATGGGTTCCCTAATAAATAATACTAGACATGTCTGGCCTAAGGAAATGTACAATACAATCAAGGTGGTTCATCAAGAAAAACTAAATCAACAGACCGATTTACGCCCAAGTTTACGAGGCCATCAGTGCATTGATTTCCCTCTCTGAGCGAATGTGATGATGAACTTGCCAATTGTCCACGAGGACTTTGAAAGGGTGGCTAGCTGATTGGGTTCCAGCCAGCAGATTGAAAGCTTCTGAGGAGTTAGTCTCTAAGGTGAAGTTCCCACTCCTATTGAGAATCAGTTGTAGACCTTGTTGGATGGCCCAGAGTTTAGTTTTAAGACTCATGGTGTGATTAATTCTACCAAAAAAGCCCTTGATCCATTTCCCTCTATCATCTCTAAGAATGCCACCAATCCCAGTTGGTCCTGGGTTGCCTTTGGAGCTTCCATTAGTGTTGATCTTATAGTAACTTGCAGTGAAAAAACCCACTTAATCAGTCTCCCTGCAGCATGCAACTTCTCAGCATGCCTATTATCAAAAGCTTCAATGATCTCTTTGGCTAGTGAGATGGAAGTTTTTGCTGTATCAGCAGACTCGGTTATATCACCATCGAGACATTCCTTGTTTCTATTTTTCCATATGCCCCAGATGATGGCCACAAAAGGTGTGCCCAATTAATATTATTCCAAGTGATTGTAATAACAAATAAGCAATATTTTCAAATCATTGGGTGAGATTAAGGTTTCTATCAGACTGTCTCTTCTGTGGAGTAAGAAAGTAGCTCCAGGCTCTCTGAGCTTTTACTACAATCTCTTAATATATGAATGGTTGACTCAACATGGTTTTTACACCTAATGCAAGTAGGATCATCTGTCATACATCTGTCAGCTTTAAGTTTGTTGGAAGAGATTCTATCATGTAGGACAAGCCAAAGAAATTTTTTTTACTTTTGGGGAATTTCCATTTCTTATCAATAGCAGTATAGGAGGAATTATCAGTAAGGAAATTATAAAAGCCTTTTGATGAGAACTTACCATTTGCTGCCTTTTCCCAAGAAGTAGAATCTACATGCTGACTGAATTGTGGTAGTGGAGTGAATAAGATTTCTTGGACAAAGCCGGAGGAAGAATCATACCTATAGCTTTCAAGTTCCAGGATCCGTTTGGTCCAATGAAGTACAGAAGTGGTTTGTCTCCAACCTACCAATCTTTCCAGAAGGTAAATGCTTTGACCATCACCCACAATCCATTTTATACCTGCTTCTAAAGGAGTACAAACTTTCAAAATTCCATTCCAAATGGGGGATGCATTAGCCTTTTTTTTTTCAAGGTTCAGAGGTGATAGTAATGTATTTATTTTTCATGACTTCAACCAGTAAGGATTTTTTATTATCTAATTTAAGTTCTCAACCTAATTTCCTGAGCAGTGCATAATTATTATCTCTACTTTTCCTTAACCCTAGGCCCCCAATGGCTTTGGGTGTACACACTTTATCCGAATTTAACAAGTGAATTTTCTTCTTTTCTTTTGTGTCCCCGAACAGAAATTGAGTTTTTTTTGTGAGTGTATTTTTTTACACTTATTTGAGAGAAAGTGTATGGATAAGTTGTTTATCCCGTTAAGTTCAATTTTAATTGAACATCTTGTGATTAAGTACAAAATTTCAAATGACATTTTATTTATTTTACTTATTTACCTTTTCTTAAATTATGCATAATTTTTATTATTTCATTCTCTCTCTCCCCCTCTATCTCTCCCCTATTTTCTCCCTCATTGATAATATAGTTTCTTTTCAAATATGTAAAGATTTGATTTGATTTTTCATCTCTCTCCCATATTTTTCTCTCTCTCCTATTTTCTCTAACCATTACTTTAATTCTTCTTATTCTCCTTCTACTTATATCAATATTACAACAAACAATTATATTAATCAGTTACACCAATCAGTTACTAAAGAGTATACCAAACAATTATCAAAGAGTTACATCAAACAATTAGCCATTTACAAGCAAACAGCTACACAAATAAAGTTACCAAAGAGTTACAGCAAATATGTACCAAAAGAGTTGTACCAGTAACGAAACAGTTAACCATCTACAAATAAATAGTTATATATGTGTAACTGTTTAATAATCGAATTTTAAGATTTTTCTATTTCACATACATGCATTCATCATAAAAGATTTCAGATTTTATTATTTTCATTTCACAAAACATGGGTTTGGATTTTATCAAACAAAAAAACAGAACTAAAAAGCCAAAAAAACTTCTACCGTTAGGCGATTCAAATGTCGATTGTAATACCAAATAGTTATTCAAAACAAATATACAAATCAAATGCCTTGAATATCAAATAGAGTTATTTCACACTGTTATAACAAACAAAAAGTTAGTGTAACTGTTAAAATTTGTGTTTTTTAAAATTAAAATTTTTTATATAGTCATTCAATATAAAAGAATTCAACTTTGTTATTTTTATTTAGAATTGTTAGTGTTTTTTTAATTTTAGTTTGGGCTCTTTCGAATAGAAATTGCAAAAAAAAAAAAATGAAAACTAGCCATTAAAAATCGGAGTTGAAACCTTGAAATCGAACTTGAATGTCTGGAGAAGAGGATTCTAGTGATGGAGAATAGTTGCACCAAATCAAAATGCCGAACAGTTAGAAGAAAATAGGACCTCCTGTTCTTCCTCCTTTCTTTTAAAAAAATCCCTTTTGATCTTCAACGAATATTTCCGGGTATTATCTTTAGAATTTGTTCATAAATCCATTTGAATTTCAAAATGCCGAAGATGAAGGGACACTCTGTTTAATGCTTCCTTTTTTATCGCTTGATTCCTTATTGGAGCCAAGATTGTCGTTTGGCATTTGAATGAGGTTTGATCTTATTTCCTTTAACAAATGACCTTTTGGTCATTTTCTTAAATGCACTTTTGTTCAATTAACTTTTTCAGTTGTAGTTTAATTCAATTAAGTCCAAATTTTTGTACTGGCTTCCATTTTACCCCAGAAAATTCCTATTCAGCCTATCTATTTGGTCACAAATTGACTGAAGGACCCATTGAGTTTGCACTGCATAGTTAGGGATAGTGGCAGTCACAACCTGAATCAGTGTTGCCTTTCCTGCCATGGACAAATTATTAGCTTTCCATCCAGGCAACCTTACCTGAATTTTCTCTGCAATATCTTTGAAATGTTCTTTGGATACTCTTCTACGTAAGACTGTATGCCTAGATATTTATCCAGATCCCTTGTTAAAGGAAAACCAAGAATCCTGCTAAGTTTAGATGCACTGCTGCGTCTAACGTTTAGGGATACATAGACTTTAGACTTAGTCAGACTCAATTTGAGCCCAGAGATCCTACAGAATTCATCAAGTACCTTCCTTATAATGATGTTATCAATAGTCTGCCTACCTGAGATAAAATTGCTTTGGTTTGGGCCTACTAGTTTATCCAGTATGCGTCTTAGCCTAGCTACTAACAGTTTAGTTATTGCTATGTAACTGACATTGCACAGACTAATAGGTCTAAATTGGGAGATTAAAGTTGGACATTTCACACACTTTCAATGTGGCTTCTTCTAGGGGTTCAGAGTTGCAGGTTGAATTAATTGCAAAGAAATTAAGGTTTCATCTTTTGAGAAATTTTTTCCACAGCAAGGATCACCTAATTTGTATATTGGTAAGTAAAATGGAAGATTAATCATTTATTGGGCGCAAAGCGTTGCAGATTAAGATTTTACTTTCATTGCTTTGAACCATTTGCTTTTGTTCCGAGAGGAGGATTGGTTGTTTAAATCATCCGATTAAAGTTTCTCTTCAGTTAAGTCATGCATTACTGTCATACACAATTCATTTCTTTGGAGCAGGTATCTTGTTCCCTCTGCAGTGAGACAATGGAACGTGATGTTTTAGCTGTTCATAATGGTGAAAATTGTCCCCAAAGAATTGTGACGTGCGAGTACTGCGAGTTCCCATTGCCTGCAATTGATCTTTTTGAGCATCAGGTAGTAACTATAGGGATCTGAAAATGAAGATATGCTTCCATGTGGGGCTGTAATAGGTTGACATTGGTAATTTCAGGAAGTATGTGGGAACCGGACAGAATATTGTCATCTGTGCAGAAGATATATTAGATTGCGTGAAAGAAATGGCCATGAAAGCAGATGCAATGGTGTCCAAGTTGATAATGAAGAATCTTCGAGGTAGGAGGAACTATTTTTTGAGTTTTGCATCTTTTACGACTCTTTTTTGAAAGAAAATATCTGATGAAATTTCTTATGGGTTGAATTGGCAAAGTTTCTCTGGCAATCACCCCTGCTTGCTCTGGGAAATATGCCTGTCACATATAATGGCCATGGGAAGTAAAAAGTAATCGTGCTTATCTGGTTTTTTCTCCCAATTGCCATTGACATGTTGCAATTTTAGTTGGAGACCACATCACCATTAGCTTCTTTTGTTTTCAGGAACCTGATTTCCATAAGTGAGCATTTTGTAGGATGAACGTAATAAAGTATGGATGCTCTAACATAGATTTTGCCAAAAACTTCCGTTGTTGACTCTTATGTTGCTTTGGAAATTTTATTATTCTATCTGTTCTCCATAAAATGATTTTTAATACTCTGCCTTTATAAAATCATCAAACTAGAAAAATTCCACAAATCTGACCTATTGTTGGAATCCATTCCTTAATAGAAATATTGTAGTGCAGATTTCAATTCAGCTAACCTACCACGAGAGTTTTGTTTACATTATGCTCTTGACTGTATCCATTTGATAGGATTCATCTTGTATTTTTTTGTACCATACCACAAACCAGACGCCCAAGAACTCCTGGCTTATGTGGTTATTGAACCTCAGTCTTTCTGTTTTAAAGTTTTGGCCTCCTGTTTCAGTAAAATGTTTATAAAAATGTTTATTTGTCAAGACATAAATTTTTTAATGCTCCGTTTTTCACTTGTTTTGTCATGGTTGTTTATTTGGAATCTCTCAAGGGATGTGGCAGCTGAAAGAGAGAATGGTGCTCGAAGACGGGAGCCACCTGGTTATTCACCGAGGCGCCTTCTATTCACCATTGCGATAACAGGCATTGCTGTTCTAATAGGTTCACTTCTTTTCCAGAAGAAAACTCAGAACAATCAAGTGCATTAGATGTGATGGTGAACGCAATGGAGGTGCCCCTATGTGCTCTACCCTCGGGCATAGCCATTTACCTGATTTGTTACCATGTTAGAAAGGATATATTTATGTGTATTGCACTTTTTTGAGATTGAGTTAATACCAAGACAAGTTATGCATCCCATTCACTGGATGGGATGACGTTCACCACCCAATTTCAGTAAATACCTGAAACTGATGACAAATACAAATTTGTGCTTTTACTATGGGATTGTTTTTTCATGATAGTGCTGCCCGGGATCCAGTCCAAACTGGCTTGGATTTAATTCAGTAGCCATTCTCTCTCTCTCTCTCTCTCTCTCTCTCTCTCATACACATGGGCTGTCACTTGGCTTTTTTGCTTCCCTAAATTAGGAGGTATCCTTAAAAATATAGTAAACTAAGAGTGTGGTTAAAATTTATTTTTTCTTCTTTTTATATATAGAAGAGAAAGTCTCACTTTACAACCTATTAAGATAAATTTTTTCATTTTGCATCCTCAAATATCAAATTTTTTTATATGATTTTCTCTTATATATTAAAAGTGTTGTAATGTGATTTTTCTGTTGTTTTTAATTAATTATTCTGTTAAAATTTACCCCATTCTAACATCGACAGAATGAGTACCGAAAATTAATAGAAGAATCACATTACAATACTTTTATTATAATAAGAGTACAATGTGAAAAATATAATCTTCAAGAATATAAAATAAAATTCTTTAATTTTTTAAAACAAAATACAATTCGCGTTTTATTGCAAGCGATATGATGCCTTATATTTTCTAATTTGATTTGGCATGAAATAAATATTGATGCCTTTTAAACGGAAGAACCACTTACCATGTGTAGTCGACCACACTTTTGTTTTGGGATCTGGATGTGATAATCTGTTACGAGACTATAAATAAAATAATAACTGAACGAAATAGAAAAACATAACAAATTAAATTATGAGGTTTGATTTAATAAACAAGTCAATGTTCACAAATAATACAAAATGATAAAATTTTACTATCAAAGGTTGAAAATTACAAAACATTCTCGATAGAGACAAAGACAAGAGAATGTGTTACCACCCTTGACACTTACAAAATAAATAGTGTTCCCAAACTCCTTCACGCGAAGAAGATCCAAAATATAGCAAACCCAAATTTCTTTGAAGAGAAATCGTCAACGTCATCAATAACAAAAGGTCGACCGAAGCTCTATATGAATTCACGTTGACGTCATTGCACCAAACCCGTTGAAGGCCACTTTTAAGTCTTGTCTGGATATTAGCTTAAGCTCAAGTCCTTTTATTGGACTAAACGACTCCTAATTATCATCAAGAGTAATGCTCATCAAACAGGCCAATAAGTCCATGAAGAATAAAACTCCACCGAGCAACAACCAAAGTCATCCAACCCATAAGTCAACCACAAAAATCTTTGAATCCAACCAACAAATAAACTAAATCAATATTTGATACTTCTCAAATAAAAACTATAGAATCATAACCAAAATGAGACCATCTAGTTATAACAAAAGTATTAACCAAGTTATCCTTTAATACCCACTCTGATTTTGATAGAAAGATACTAATAAAATTAAAAGACAAATTTTACCGAATAGCTATAAAGACAAAAATATTTTATGGGACGCAATATTGGACAAATATTTCACAAAAATGAATATAACGAAACTGACAATGTTAAGGTGAATACGTGGAAAAATTAGAAAAGATAGAATACAAAATAACCATAATAGAAAAATGGTAAGAATAACTTTAATTGATGATAAGTTGAGAGAGAATAGATTAAAATAGTTTGGTCACGTTCAACGAAGGTCAATAAAGGCACCAGTTAGAAAAGATGATAAAAAAATTTTTAATGGTACTAGAAGTAGGGGTAGACCTAAATAACATTAAACGAAATAAATATATGAAAATATTTAATTTAAATGAGCATATAATACATGACCGAAATAAACGATGAAGACAGACTCATAGAGTCAACCCCAAATGATTGGGACATAAGACTTGGTCTAGTTGGTATCCATCTCCGATTGTCACCAAGATTACCAAGGGAACTCAAAGTAGATCCAAGATCATACTCATAAACCGAGTTATTAAATAACTATTACATATGAATCAAGCATAACAGATTAAAATGGTGAGCAAAACAGACCCTTTAACCGGGAAAAAAAATACGAGCAGAACCCAAATATATACATAACTGAAAAATACACCGAAAAAACTGGAAAAAAAAAGACGCAAACATCACCCAAAATGGGAGTAGCACAAGGAAGAATCTGAAGACCTTTACACCAATCGAGAGAGTACAACAAAGAATCTAAAGATCTTCACTTTTTCACCGGTATCTGTTGCTTTCAACGAGAGAGAGAGAGAGAGAGAGAGAGGGGTGTGCAAAGGGTACCTGTCGGCGCTGGTGGTGGTTGCCGCTGGTGATGACCGTCCTCGTCTTTAATCAACTAATTGTGATACTGATTCAATAACTCACCATAAAGTCTGTTCACCAAATCCTGCACCACCTGTTGTTGATTAAAGAAAGCCAAGGCTTCAGTTCCAACACCTGTTTCCTCCTCTCCCACCATTGATCATAAGGGCAATCTAGTATTCGTCATTTTCTTCCTCATTGCCAATGTAAGCTCTCTCTCTCTCTCTCTCTCTCTCTCTCTCTCAAAATTTTCCCTGTACGTGGATGTAAGCTAATGTGAATTTGTATTTTGTAGTTTTTGATCGAATTTGGCAATACCTTGTTATTGGTTTTATTTTGTCACTTATGTGTCATGGCGGTTCGTATGTATTTGTTTAATATCAGCAGATTTAGATCCCCATTATGTGTGGAGTTTCTTTATAAATTGTAGGTCTCACCACAATATGTGGTGGATGAGATCCAACTTCTCGGGTGTGTGGTTAATAAATATCAACATGATGCCATAAATTTAGATGGGTAAGGGTACAATAAGAACGTTATTTTGAAAATGTCAGGACATATTTGACATTTGGGTCATGTGTTTCCTGCACTGATGTGTTCTTCTATTTAATAATTTATATTTTAAATTATTGGGCATGATTTTGTTGATGCATTTAGGATTATTAAACTAATGTCTATGGTCCCTCTGTCACAATTAGACACCAGTATCTATACAGGTTGTAAGCCAACTACTTCGCCTGCTTTGACTACGGACCACATGAAGAATACATGCTACCCTTGTCGGCCTCAACATCAAGATGCAATAAATAGTAATTTTTGATATGGTACACTGTTTGCAGCATTTGGTTCAGACAAACTCCATCGCCTTTTTGTCACTGAAATCAAATATGCAAGCTGCTGTAAATTTGGTAATGCATTTTCAGTACAAGAATTCCAATCTAAAGTTTCATATTAAACGTTTTAATATCCTTGGAAGCTAGAGTTTCATGAGAAGATAATGTGGCAAAAAACTTTTAGAGGCTGTCATATAAAAAATAAATAAAAATTAAGAGTCTGAAAAGGAAATTAAATTCTTATATACATGAATTCATTCCAAAACTACAACCTACATTTTACGTAGCACAATTTAAAATTGTGTTATGGGCATCTTTTTTTTTTTTTTTGTAAATCAATATTCAAACTTGCAAACAATAAAGATTTTTTTAAAAAAATTACTCTCATTATTTATGTGATTCAAATTAGGGTAAAAAAAATTCATAAAGTATGCCAACCATTCAATTTTATAAAGTTGTACTTCAAGTGAATATAATAATTAAATACCTCATATACCCAAGTAAGAGAGTTTTACAATAATTTTACTCCATATGCTTTGATTTATAAATATATAAGACAATTTCAACAAATTATTTCATGTAACGTGTACATCAACTAATAGATATAAACAACAAAATCCAAAGTCAAAAGCAATTTAGATCTCGGAGTACAATAACAAGCAACACATAAATTAAAAAAACAAAGATAAAATAAAACCAAAAATGACATATATGAAAAGCTCTAAAACTAGTACATACCCAATTGAGATTAGAGAAAATTGAGGCATAAATTAAATTTAAATCCAATTAAACTCCAAAACAAAAATCCAATATTCTTCCCAAACCCCCCACAATATCAAATCTAAATTCAATGTCAATTAACACTTTTCAAAACCCCGAAATTAAATATATATTCAATTAAACCCTACACCCAAAATTGAATAATTTCCCCAAAAGCCTAAATTAAATGGGGTTGGTGGCAAATGGTGATGATAATAGAGGGTTGTAGTAGCTCGGGTTGGAGATCGGTGTGCATTGTAGATGGCGGCCTTTGGGTGTGGGTTCTGATGTGGCAAGAATTTGCTCTCGCACGAACCCAAACAGGGTATGTTTGTGACTCAAATCGCCAAAATGAACGACCAGAAATCAAGACCCTACCCTTAATTAGAACCCTAACCCCCTAAATCACAACCCTAACCACAAATAGTATGAAAAAGCAGAAAATCGCACAGAATAACTTAATGAAGGGGGAAGGAGGAGAAACCAAAAAATAAACTATCTAATTTCTGTAATACCCGAAATCATCAAAACAAGCTGAAAGGACATACAAAATCAATCAAGAGGGTGCATCGAACTAGTGTTTCTCTCTTCAATTTGAATCATCAAACTCATATGGGGGATAGAGAGACAGAGAAAAAGAGAGGGGCGCCCATTGCTCTTTCTTTGCTTTGGAAGAGTGAGATAAGTTGATTATCTCGGATTAAAAAACAGAAAAAGATAAGTTGACAAACACATGAAGTAGCAATCCTTATCAACCACAAAAAGTTTACCAATTAAAAGTAAAAAATATCCTCTTATTATATCAATTTTGCAAGTAATGTGGCTAGAAAAAAGAGTCAATTATCGCTGACGAACGCATCCTATGAACCAATTCTATACTAAAATAGAAAATAAATTAATTAACTACAATGTGTATTCATATTAACTAAAATAGTAATAAAAAATATCACAGATACAAATTAAATAAGTAAAAAATATCACAGATAAAAATCAAATACTACAGATCATGTGTTTATAAATTCATAATTATATACAATTTCTTATAATAGTGAAAACGATCCAAATAATAGTCTAATAACAAACTGCAACCCATAATAGCGTACCAACTAAAACTACTTCCATTGACCAACATATCAAAGGATAGTTGTACCACGCTCCAAATTGACCCACGATCCAAGTAACCTTGATTCTAACGGCCTTCAAGTATGAGTTTGTGGCGGTCTCAGGTGTG